TCTAGTCTATTGTCTAGTCTTTAGTCTAGTCTATAGTGTGGTCTATAGTCTAGTCTATAGTCTATATTCTAGTCTATAGTCTAGTCTATTGTCTAGTCTATAGTCTAGTCTAGTCTATAGTCTAGTCTAGTCTAGTCTAGTCTATTAGTCTAGTCTATAGTCTAGTCTATAATCTAGTCTATAGTCTAGTCTATAGTCCTAGTCCATAGTCTAGTCTATAATCTAGTCTATAGTCTAGTCTATAGTCTAGTCCATAGTCTAGTCTATAGTCTAGTCTATAGTCTAGTCTATAGTCTAGTCTATAGTCTAGTCTATTGTCTAGTCTTTAGTCTAGTCTATAGTCTATTCTACAGTCTAGTCTATAATAGTCTAGTCTAGTCTATAGTCTAGTCGTTACCTAGTCTATAGTCTATTCTATAGTCTAGTCTATAGTCTAGTCTATAGTCTAGTCTATAGTCTAGTCTATAGTCTAGTCTAGTCTATAGTCTAGTCTATAGTCTAGTCTATAGTCTAGTCTATAGTCTAGTCTATAGTCTAGTCTATAGTCTAGTCTATAGTCTAGTCTATAGTCTAGTCTATAGTCTAGTCTATAGTCTAGTCTATAGTCTAGTCTATAGTCTAGTCTATAGTCTAGTCTATAGTCTAGTCTATAGTCCTAGTCTATAGTCTAGTCTATAGTCTAGTCTATAGTCTAGTCTATAGTCTAGTCTATAGTCTAGTCTATAGTCTAGTCTAGTCTATCTATGCTAGTCTATAGTCTAGTCTATAGTCTAGTCTATTAGTCTAGTCTAGTCTAGTCTATAGTCTAGTCTATAGTTAGTCTATTGTCTATTAGTCTAGTCTATAGTCTAGTCTATAGTCTAGTCTATAGTCTAGTCTATAGTCTAGTCTATAGTCCTAGTCTATAGTCTAGTCTATAGTCTAGTCTATAGTCTAGTCTATAGTCTAGTCTATAGTCTAGTCTATAGTCTAGTCTATAGTCTAGTCTATAGTCTAGTCTTAGTCTAGTCTATAGTCCTAGTCTATAGTCTAGTCTATAGTCTAGTCTATAGTCTAGTCTATAGTCTAGTCTATAGTCTAGTCTATAGTCTAGTCTATAGTCTAGTCTATAGTCTAGTCTATAGTCCTAGTCTATAGTCTAGTCTATAGTCTAGTCTATAGTCTAGTCTATAGTCTAGTCTATAGTCTAGTCTATAGTCTAGTCTATAGTCTATAGTCTAGTCTATAGTCTAGTCTATAGTCTAGTCTATAGTCTAGTCTAGGCTAGTCTAGTCTAGTATAGCTAGTCATAGTCTAGTCTATAGTCTAGTCTATAGCTAGTCTATAGTCTAGTCTATAGTCTAGTCTATAGTCTAGTCTATAGTCTAGTCTATAGTCTAGTCTATAGTCTAGTCTATAGTCTAGTCTATAGTCTAGTCTATAGTCTAGTCTATAGTCTAGTCTATAGTCTAGTCTATAGTCTAGTCTATAGTCTAGTCTATAGTCTAGTCTATAGTCTAGTCTATAGTCTAGTCTATAGTCTAGTCTATAGTCTAGTCTATAGTCTAGTCTATAGTCTAGTCTATAGTCTAGTCTATAGTCTAGTCTATAGTCTAGTCTATAGTCTAGTCTATAGTCTAGTCTATAGTCTAGTCTATAGTCTAGTCTAGTCTAGTCTATAGTCTAGTCTATAGTCTAGTCTATAGTCTAGTCTAGTCTAGTCTATAGTCTAGTCTATAGTCTAGTCTATAGTCTAGTCTATAGTCTAGTCTATAGTCTAGTCTATAGTCTAGTCTATAGTCTAGTCTATAGTCTAGTCTATAGTCTAGTCTATAGTCTAGTCTATAGTCTAGTCTAGTCTAGTCTAGTCTATAGTCTAGTCTATATCTAGTCTATAGTCTAGTCTATAGTCTAGTCTATAGTCTAGTCTATAGTCTAGTCTATAGTCTAGTCTATAGTCTAGTCTATAGTCTAGTCTATAGTCTAGTCTATAGTCTAGTCTATAATCTAGTCTATAGTCTAGTCTATAGTCTAATCTATAGTCTGATCTTTAGTCCAGTGTATAGTCTAGTCTATATTTTTTACATCTCTTAGAATCTCCTATTAAGAAGACACATGACTTTGCAAATATCTCTGAGTTGTTATCTACTAAACTCAATGTATTTCTTTTTTAATTGCAGCATTGCAGCTTTTAATAGTACTCCTTTTTGTAGTGTACCTATTTACAACAATCTCAGCAGATGCCTCAGACCACACAAAACTCTGTCGTTTATTCAAAACGGCACAAAAGTACGTGTTCCCGGATCATGTGAACAGTATATGGTGTGTAATGGCAATAGTGGTGAAATTTTCACTTGTTCCGGCAATTTGAAATATGATACGGAACAAGAAAAATGTGTCGCAAATCTTGATACCACTGCAATATGTGATAATCGTTGTATGGGTATAAGTGACGGAAGATTCGTAGCGGACCCAACCAATTGTCGTGGCTGTTATTATTGTCTAAATGGTGAAGCCTATGCCAGCAGTTGTGATTGGCAGTACTATTTTAATGAGACTAGACAAGAGTGCGTTTATCCTCGCGATTCTACGTGCAAAGATGTTAATAATATTTGTGAACTGGTGAAGGATAAAACCGCGTTTCGTAATGAGAATGATTGTTCACAATACTATGTATGCAGCAAAGGCGTACAAAAGCCTGATTACTGCAAAAATCAATACTTTAATGTGGAAAAGGGATCTTGTGATAAGAAGAAGAATGTAATTTGTAATGCCCATCCAATAGCCGCGAATTTATGTCCAAAGAATATTACTAATATAGTGAAAAAAGCAGATGGTGGTTCTTGTCGCGGTTACTTTGTTTGCGCCCCTATGGGAGAATTTGCTCAAGATGAACAACCTATTTGGTTCCAGTGTCCGGCTGGAAAGCTTTTCAGTGAAGCGCAAGGAGAATGTTTAGATCCAATCGATGTTAAATGCGATTATAATCGTTGTGATGGCCGTGGTAATATGCTCGTTAACAGTTCTTTTAATAATTGCCGCAATTATATTAAATGTGAAAATAATTTGGAAGTGGAGGAATATACCTGTGGCGATAATTACTTTTTCAATGAGCGTCTTCAAGCATGTGTTCCGTATATCATTTATTTTAAATGTTGTGATCAACCAGCTACGCACCCCAACGTAAAGTTGTAATAAAAGTTATGCATACCAACTTGGTTTATGGACTAATTTTTTGTTATTGTCTTTGTTTCGAGGAAAATTTTTGCAAAGAAAAATAATTTGTAAAAAATTTACTTGTTTTACATTTTTCAAATAGTGTATAACAGTATAAGAATTGTTAGTATAACAATTTTTCTTTAGAAAAGTTGTAAGTATAACAGTTTTTCTTTAGAAAAATTCTTAGTGTAACGGTTTTTTAATATAACAGTTTTCCTTAGAAAAGTTGTTAGTATAAAAGTTTTTCTTTTGAAACAAATGTTAGTATAAAAGTTTTTCTTTAGAAAAATTTTTAGTATAAAAGTTTTTTTTTCCAAAAATTGCTAGTATAACAGTTTTTCTTTCCAAAAATTGTTAGTATAACAGTTTTTCATTAGAAAATTTGTTGGTAAAACAGTTTTTACTTAGAAAAACTATTAGTTTAACTGTTTTTCCTTAGACAAATTGTTAGTATAACAGTTTTTCTTTCAAACAATTTTTAGTTTTTCTTTTAGAAAAATTGTTAGTGTAACGGTTTTTCTACAAAAACTTTTCGTATAGCAGTTTTTCTTTGGAAAATTTCTTAATATAACAGTTTTCCTTTAGACAATTTGTTAGTATAACAGTTTTTTTCTTTAGAAAGAGTTTTTTTTTAGAAAAAATGTTAGTATAACAGTTTTTCTTTAGAAAAGTTGTTAGTATAACAGTTTTTCTTGAGAAAAATTGTTAGTATAACAGTTTTTATTTCGAAAAATAAATAGTACAACAGTTTATCTTTCGAAAAATTGTTAATATGACAATTTTTCTTTAATAAAAATGTTAGTGTAACAGTTTTTCTTTCAAAAAAGTTTAGTATAACAGTTTTTCTTTAGAAAAATTTTTAGTGTAACGTTTTTTCTAAAAAAAATTTTAGTATAACAGTTTTTCTTTAGAAAATTTGTTAATATAATAGTTTTTCTTTAGAAAAATAGTTAGTATAACAGTTTTTCTTTCGAAAAAATGTTAGTATAACAGTATTTTTTAGAAAAATTGTTAGTATAACTGTTTTTCTTTAGAAAAATAATTAGTATAACAGCTTTTCTTTAGAAAAATTGTTAGCATAACTCTTTTTCTTTCCAAAAATTATTAATATAACAGTTTTTTTTCAGAAATTTTTTTTGTAACAGTTTTTTTAAATTGCAATTATAACTGTTTTTATACAGTAAATTGTTAGTATAACAGTTTTGTTTGAAAAATTTTAATTATAAGAGTTTTTTTAATTAATTCTTATAATAATATGTTCTAAAGAAAAATTTTTGGTATAACAGTTTTTTTAGATAAATTGTCAGTATAACAGTTTTTCTTAAGATAAATTTCTAGAATAATTATTTTTATAACAGTTTTTATTTAGATAAGTTATTGGTATAACAGCTTATCCTTTATACAATTGTTAGTGTAATAGTTTTTTATAGAAAATGTATCAGTATAACTGTTTTTAAGTAGAAAACTTGTTAGTATAACAATTTTTGTATATAAAACTTGTTAGTATAACAGCTTTACTATACGAAAAATTCTCATTATAACACAATCCCTTAAGATAAATTATAAGTACAAAAGATTTCCTGTACAGAACTTATTAGTTTAATGTTTTACTACAATTTTTCTATAGAAAAATTTGTTTATATGTATACTGTTTTTTCTCTATTGTAGACACATGCCTAAAAGTATGCATTAAAAGTTTTAAAGATTACATCTGGCTACACTATATTTATAACAACACTTTCCAACACTAAAGGCACTCCAGCAGCTGTTTTAGCTGTCAACTCAAACTACAATAGCAACAAACTCAAAGTAAATAAAAAGTAAACAAACCAACATGTTAATATTACGAAATTTACGAATTTTAACAAATTTAACAAAAACTAATGTACCAAAACGTTATCTAAGAGGTTTACCACAACGAAGGGTAGAATTTAGCGCCCTACCTTCTGTCACCAGTGCAGAGGAGGAAAAAGATGAGGTAAAATTGGCACAAAAAGAATTGGCCGAATTGACGGGTGGCCTTAGTATGCAGCAGCTAAAAGAAATTTTAGAACCGCACAAAAATAAAACTTTAAAAAGACAGGAAGACTCTAAGGAAGAGCAGCTATCCACGGAAGTTAGCAAACAGCCACTTTTACCCACCTACAACTTGGCGGCTTATGTCGACAAATCGGAATTACTGCAGCAATTCATACAATTGGGTGTAGACTTAAGTGCCATTGAAAGGCGCAAGGGCTTGCCAGAATTTGTATTGAAATTGGATCTAGAACAGGATGTTAAACCTCGTCTGTTATTTCTTAAAGATCAAGGAGTGCCAGCCGAAAGTTTTGGTGATCTTATAACTAAAAATCCCTTAATATTCAAAGTCGACCTAGATGACCTACAAACTAGAGTAAATTATATGGAAGCGAAACGTTTTAGTGCAATACAAATCCAACGTATTCTCACACTCAATCCCTTTTGGTTAATGTTCTCCACTAAGCGTATCGATAAACGACTGGGCTATTTTCAAAAGGAATTTTCCTTAAGAGGTGATGATGTTCGCTTTCTAGCCAGTAAATTACCGCGCTTGATCACCTACAACATGGAACATATACGTCAGGCCACATTTAGTATACGCGAGGAAATGGGTTTCGATAAGGAAGAAATTAAATGTTTACTCTTAAGTAAACCACGATTATGGCTATTGAGTAAGCTAAATTTATTTTTATTTATTTAAAAATAATATTAATATTGTTTTTTTTTTTTTTTCAAATTTCACAGAACCTGATGATCTTATTGAACGTTTTGCCTATGTTCATCAGGAAATGCAACTATCGCATCAAATGATATTACAACAGCCGGAAATTTTAACCTCACGAGAGTTTCGTTTACGGGAACGTCATGAATTTTTAAAAATGTTAGGACGCGCTCAATATGATCCGGAGAAGGATATGTATATATCGCCGAAATCTTTAGTAGAGGGTAATAATCATTATTTTGTACGTAAAGTAGCTAAAAGTGATATGGAAACGTTTGAATTGTTTTTGAAAACAAGATAATTTTTATAATTTAATAAAGAAAATCTTATTTTTAAGTTTATTTAGTTTAGTTTGTTAATAAAGTAAGATTTTTTGTATTAAACTAAAGATGGTAATAATTAATGTTTTTTCTATTTAAGCAAATACATATTAGAAGATTTGTTAGTATAAAAGATGTTTTGTAGAAAAATTGTACTAACAATAACACAAGTTCTAAAGAATATAACAAATTAGGGTTCTATAGTTGAAACGAAAAGTCGACTTTTCGACTTTTTGCATTTAGTTAAAAGTCGACTTTTCGACCTTTCGACTTTTTCCATTTTATGAAAAGTCGATTTTTCGACTTTTCGACCTTTTTCATTTATTTAAAAGTCGACTTTTAGACTTTTCGACTTTTAGTATTTTATAAATGGTCGACTTTTTCCGACTTTTCGACTTTTTCCGACTTTTTTCGACTTTTCGACCTTTCGACTTTTTCCGACTTTTCGACTTTTTCGACTTTTCGACTTTTTTCGACTTTTCGACTTTTTTCGACTTTTTTCAACTTTTCGACTTTTTCCGACTTTTCGATTTTTTACGACTTTTTGACTATTTTCGACTTATTTCGACTTTTTTTCGACTTTTTTCGACTATTTTTTATTTTTTTCGAGTTTTTTCCGACTATTTTAGAGTTTTTGACCTCTTTTCCACTTTTTAAAATTTTCGACTATTTTCGACTTTTTTCGACTTTTCGACTTTTTCCGACTTTTCGACTTTTTCCGACTTTTCGACTTTTCGACTTTTTTCGACTTTCTTCGACTTTTTTCGACTTTTTCCGACTTTTCGACTTTTTCGACTTTTCGACTTTTTTCGACTTTCTTCGACTTTTTTCGACTTATCGACTTTTTTCGACTTTTTTCGACTTTTCGACTTTTTTCGACTTTCCGACTTTTTTCGACTTTTATTTACAAAGTCGACTTTTCGACTTTTTTCATAGACGATAGTCGAGTTATCGACTTTTTTGGAACAAAATAGTCGACTTCGACTTTTCGACTTTTCGACTTTTTTCGACAAAAAGTCGATTGTTCGATTATTCGAAAGTCGATTTATAGAACCCTATAACAAATATTATATAGAAAAATAATTGTTATAAAAGTTTTTCTATAGTTGAATCTTCTGGAATCTTCAAAAACCATTTGCCCTTTTAATACACCTGAAAACTTTAATTTTTAATATTCTGTTAAGAAATGTTACTTACATTGTTAATAACTTCCGTTGCAATTGATCTTCCGATTTATTTTCCATTTTTTTATTACACATTTTTCTATTTTAACACAAACGCTTTTCTTAAAACACTTATCTTATTCTTTATATTTCTTTATTTTACTTATTTTCATTTTTAACATATACCTAGCTTTATTTACTCTGCTTTTATATGTATGTTAACATTTATTTTTTCAACTTAACATTGCGCAAACACTCTCACAATAAAACGGAAACATCTGCCTTTGCAGGAACTTAAAAACATAAACAACTCAACTCATTTTTTATTTTCTTATATTTCCTTTTATTTTCTAATTAGCTTTTTTCTTTCTTACTTTTTTATTTTCTCTGCTTTTTTAAGCTTTCTTTTTCTTAAACTTACTCACTAACACTTCTACATTCTTTACATAAACGCTACGAACGGCCCGATGAAAAGGAAACAGCGAATGGCACAGAATTGCTAAACAAAATTTTAAACATTTTTTCTTACATTTATTTTTAGATTTCCAAGGAAATTTTTTACACAACTATAAAACTATGCTTTTATAACATTTTTATATAAAAATATTATTATTTTTACTTTATATATTAATAACTAATCTAAGACACTTCTTCCGAACCAACCGAACCGTATGAAAATTTTGCGAGAACTAAATTTAGTATGTATACCAAGTCATAAAGAGAAATGTCAAATGCTTATAGATGTGAGTAAGTAAAAAGGAGTAAGTAAAAGAGAATGCGCGAATAACTAAAGTAAATGTTGAAATGGGAAAAGTGCAAGTGGGGGAGTGACCAAATTACTTTTTGCAGCAGTGGAGAGTAATGTTTAAAGATAATGCATTTAAAGGCAGAATATATGATGACTATAAGTATATACTATAAACCAGACAACAGACTAGACTATTGACAAGAATATAGAATAATCTATAGACAAGACTATAGACTAAAATATAGGCTGGACTATAGACTAGACTATAGACTAGACTATAGACTAGACTATAGACTAGACTATTGACTAAACTATAGGCTAGACTATAATAGACTTAGACCTATAGACTAGACTATAGACTATACTATAGACTAGACTATAGACTAGACTATAGACTAGACTATAGACTAGACTATAGACTAGACTATAGACTAGACTATAGACTAGACTATAGACTAGCTATAGACTAGACTATAGACTAGACTATAATAGACTAGACTATAGACTAGACTATAGACTAGAACTATAGACTAGACTATAGACTAGACTATAGACTAGACTATAGACTAGACTAGAGACTAGACTAGACTAGACTATAGACTTAGAATATAGACTAGACTATAGACTAGACTATAGACTAGACTATAGACTAGACTATACCCTAGACTATACCCTAGACTATAGACTAGACTATAGACTTAGACTATAGACTAGACTATAGACTAGACTATAGACTAGACTATAGACCTAAGACTATAGACTTAGACTATAGACTTAGACTATAGACTAGACTATAGACTATACTATAGACTAGACTATACTAGACTAGACTATAGACTAGACTATAGACTAGACTATAGACTAGACTATACCTAGACTATAGACTAGACTATAGACTAGACTATAGACTAGACTATAACATGACTATAGACTAGACTATAGACTAGACTATAGACTAGACTATAGACTAGACTATAGACTAGACCAGAGGAGCGCAAGATTGCCATTACATAGCACGCATGATAGGGTAAGAAAATTCTGCTGACGCTAGTTGATACACATACACTATAGGTTTAATTCTTCTTCTTTTTATAATGAGACTATAGACTAGACTATAGACTAGACTATAGACTAGACTAGACTATAGACTAGACTATAGACTAGACTATAGACTAGACTATACCCTAGACTATAGACTAGACTATAGACTAGACTATAGACTAGACTATAGACTAGACTATAGACTAGACTATAGACTAGACTATAGACTAGACTATAGACTAGACTATAGACTATAGACTAGACCAGAGGAGCGCAAAGATTGCCATTACATAGCACGCATGATAGGGTAAGAAAATTCTGCTGACGCTAAGTTGATACACATACACTATAGGTTTAATTCTTCTTCTTTTTATAATGAGCAATATCAGTGGGTTTGCACTCAACTTGAAAAACAAAATCAAATCAGTTGCTGAT